CCTTACCTCAAAATCATGTCTGACTCAAAACGTCCCTTACTCAAAGGCCCACCGCGTCCACCTCGATCAAATCCATCGTTATCCTATACCGAACCTCCCAGACTCAGGAACGAGGTGATATGTACAAAGCGTGATAATCTCAGAGGTGATTCCTCCAAACTCTCTACCATGATCTTACACTCATGACTTATTCATGTCTCACAGTTGTGGAATTCAACGGATCCGCAATTCCTCAGCCATTTCTCGATCCATCCATTATGCAGAAAATAGCGCAGTTGGAACGAGAACAGAAGTTAGTGTAGGAGAAAAGCACATGATAGCAGCTCGAGAGAAACCAGAATCAGGCCTCTTCTAGATCCTAATTGAAGGAGATGTGTTCAGTGGCGTGCATTGGTATCACGTGAAGTTTATTTTGAAATGTGTTTGCTTTGGGATAATTTTGGGATAATTTTTTGAGTACTACGATCCTCGATGACGGATTGATATCGGATGCTCGACCACATGTCGTGTGTAAAGCTGTATTTCACAAAAATACACGACTTTCTACATGCGTAGGCCATCATGTGAATAAATAGCAACGATAGGTATGAGTTGCAGTGCCATTTCCGAGGTCCGAAGTCGGTCGAAGGATCGGATGATGAAGTCTGCGATTTTGAAGATATCCGGATACTTGCGTGTTTCGATAGATCTTATCTCTTGTCCCTGATGACCTGAAGATCTGTCCATGAGTTTGCTCTACTTTGGGTCGATTCCTTGGTTTTATGTAAGAGATGTAATACTATTCGGCGACGTCAGAGCCCATGTCATGGTTAATGACATACTTGGGATCTGGTGTGCATGAAGATGGATCATCAGAGCCGCCTCTTACTGCACCCCGCTTTTTTGACATCTCATGAACTGATCGACCCTGAAAGCTTAAATGCTTCATCGTTGTGGCTGGCTGCCACAATTCAAGGGAATTTATCCATAAACTCTGAAGCATGGCACGTTACAAGCCTCGGCAAGAAGTTCCTGAAACTTGATATTGATGTTTTGGTTGGGCATCTTCAAATTCGGGCGTAATCGGCATTGGCTGCTTATAAGCACTAATTAATTCGCGTCGACGGGAAGACCAATAAGTGTACGATGCGCAAACCGATGTGTATCACCAGCTTATTCTCCGACGTGATCATATCTCTAAGAAATCATCATAATGGATCAAATAGGCCCGAGTCGTTCAGGTAAGGACTTCACACAAAAAATCAAAATTGTCCTCGTGGAACTACCTGCCTCTCGATTATGATCCCTTTTATGTCGATTAACATACCACGACCTATTAAAAAGAGCCAACAAGTCGTATATCACACGTGAGTAAGGATAGCTGAAATCATGACTTTGTATGGAACAGCACAGAGCAAGATCTTCTCATCTCTATTGACAACCAGGAAACGCAAAGGTTCCGAATATCTGCAATCTTCGTTCGACAGATATATTAGCTGCAGCATGCTGTGTCAACACAGGTGATGTACGACATCATTCGGGACAAATATCCAAGGCTGCTTTGAGGGTTTGTTGTTTGCGCATCCGGCCCAGCATTCAATAAGTACTTTTCCTATCGGCGTTATTCCAGTTATTCTGGATCTTTGAGCTTCAGAACTAAATCCAAATCAACTATTATTGGATATGAGGTTCAAGGTATCGTCTTGATGTCCTTTGGCGAGATTTCAGAAGACAAAAGTTAGCCAAACCTAATTTTAAGAACGTCGAAATTTGTCTCTAAATTTCGCAGTTTCTTTGAACTATTCCATGACTAAAAGCGGCAGTCTCATAAATGTACCCCTACTTTGTGTCTTGCACTAATAATAATTATGTGGATTCCACTTCCACTACAACCTTTACAGACAACGTTAACGTTGAAATTCACATAAATTTCTTCTTCCACTGGTTGTGTGGCCCGAAAAAGACTATTTAGCTTGGACCTGTCAAGCATGCATTTTCCGAAAAGCTGGCTCTGTGCGATCACCCGATACATGTCATGCAGCTCGACTCATGAGATTTCTATCCATTGCCATGTTTACATACCCTATTCCCAATGGGATGTTCATGAAGACAGACGTGTCTGTTTACAGCCACGGTTCTTGTCCTGCCCTTCCATTTTATCCAAGGTTTCAAATGGCACAGTCGTACTAGCCATATTGTTTGCTCCTTCTTTGCGGGAAAATAAGTATTCGGAAGCATCTCCCAACGTTGGATGGCTGAATGCTTCTTACAAAACACCGAAGTATCTTTGTGCATTTTCATTTACAAGTTCTCTTTCAGTGTCTTCTAGAATACATATACATTGACTTCCCACTACATCAGGATACGTTCTAGAAATTCTCCAGAAAACATCTAGAAGCTCAGCCAAAATGGTATCGTCTTTTAGAACTATCATTATTGTGGCATGTCTACTAATGACTGAAGCTACACCCTTGTGGGAACCATCTCACGTTAAACCTGATGTCGGTGCTCACTAATACGTGTATAGACTCAAGAAGAAGGGGCTGAGCTTCGATTACAATGGCAGTAAGGTTCGCGGCGTCAATTTAGGAGGATGGTTTGTGCTGGAGCCCTGGATTACTCCGTCATTATTCTATGGATCTTGGGTAGATGAGTGCGTTTCTCACAACAATGATCACCAGTAAAGATTGACTAACACTGTACTCATGCTAGGTACACTCTGACTCAAACACTTGGGAAATCTGCTTCACAAAATCTATTGAACGCACATTGGGCAACTTGGATTACGCAGAATGATTTCAATGAGATTGCAAGTGTAGGCTTGAATCATGTCCGTATACCAATTGGATATTGGGCTTTGAATCCATTGCCTGGGGATCCTTATGTCCAGGGACAGTTGACTTACTTGGACAAAGCTATTGGCTGGGCGAGACAAGCAGGGTTGAAAGTCATTCTGGATGTTCACGGGGGTGAGACACATTGCATGTTTGAATGAAGAGCTTTGCTAACTTTTGCGCAGCGCCAGGAAGCCAAAATGGGTTCGTTAGTTGATATAACAGGAATAGTGGTGCATCAAAAAGCTAATGCGATTCACAGGTTCGATAATTCTGGACGGAAAGGACCTGTCACTTGGACCCAAGGAGATACTACCAAGCAAACATTGGTTGCCATTCAGACGCTGGCCTACCGCTATGCTCCAGCCACAGACGTTGTGACTGGGATCGAGCTTCTCAATGAACCAGCGAACTGGGCTCTTGACATGGGAGCAGTTAAGCAATTTTACTATGATGGTTGGGGAAATGTGAGAAACGCGAATCCTGATACCGCGGTTGTCATCCATGATGCTTTTCTTTCTCCGCCTTCATGGAATGGTTTCATGAACTACCAATCTGGAGTCAATGATATCATTCTCGATACCCATATCTATCAAATCTTTTCCTTTGCAGAGGTCGCCATGAAGCCTTGTCAACATATTCAGGTTGCTTGTAGTCAAGTCGGAAATTTGGCCAATACAGACAAATGGACAATTGTTGGCGAATTCAGTGGAGCGCAAACAGACTGCGCGAAATGGTTGAATGGCTTTGGTGTTGGTTCTCGATACGATGGATCATACCCTGGGAGCCCTGCATGGTATGGATCTTGCCAGACAAAAGACGTTGGCACGGTTGACGGACTACTTGAAGTCGACAAAGTCAATCTGGCTTATTTCATGGAAGCACAACTTGATGCGTATGAAGCTCACTCGGGCTGGGTTTTCTGGACATGGAAGACGGAATCTGCTCCCGAGTGGCACTTCCAAAACCTTACAAGAGCGGGATTGATCCCGCAGCCTTTGACAAGTAGAAAATTTGGGAAGCAATGCGCAACTTCAGCCTGTTTGATTCCAGGCAATTGAAGATTTTCCACACTGCTTCACAAAAAACCATGAAGTTACTTTCGGGGGCGATTCAAGATAGTAGGTACGGGGCCCAATGACGTTTATACATGCAATTATTTGGAAGATGGTATTTTGGCGAGATTTACGATGCAATAACGATACCCCTCCATTCGCTCGGGGAGTTAGGAGCAAGATAGATTCTAGTTATTGGAGAGAAGCGAAGATTTAGAGTGCAAGGGATGCCAAGAGAGGGGTACTTTGTTGGTGTGACATCTAATGAATGCCCCGAGCGTCCTTTTCCTGGTCGATAAGAATAGCACGTGAGGCGCGAGACAAATGAGAAATAACGAATAGAAAAATGATGAGATGGATTGCTTCATATGTTACGGGTGCTTTCTTGTCAACAAAGTTAGTTGCGTATGCATAATTGAATCATTAATGAAGTCGGTCAGGTACCGGAAAAGTTTCCGGAAAGTGGATGGATGAGGTTTTCTTAGGAGTCGGCAAGGTCACAACCTTCTACCAACGACTCGGTTTTAGTATTTCCCTATTTCCCTTATGTCCTTCTGTCATTCTGTCCATTGTCCTTATGTCCTCATTATTGCCATGGATTATACCCACCTACCTAGTTACATAAGGTGTTTGCTTCGATACTTGTAGTCTCTCATTGGTATCTACATCTCTTACCAACATTGCCGTAAGCATTTCCCGGGTATCTCCAAGCCACTTCTCCATTCCGTGGGTTGACTAAATTTGCGGCTCCCTCCTTGACCCCATACTTTTGAGCGGGGTTGTTACAACATTCGAAGGATCCGACCGTTAGACTGCAACCCAACAATCAATTCGCCCCCACTTCTCCACTATTATCCAATGTTCCGCTGTTCCTTGCTTGTCTAGCTGCCTAGTAGAATCATAGAATCAACAGCTTGGAAGCAAGATCCCACCAATTTACAGACTTGATCCCAGAGCTACTAAAAGTAGGCGCTGTTTCTTAACTTGGCTTAGGTAATACAATGTCTCATCCATCGAACTTTCTAATGAAGACTACAAAAACACAATATATTTCCTTTATCTATTATCTTGGTTTTATCATACCACACTCTCCTTGTGATATACGATTTTGATTGTTATATCCACAAACAATATGTCTCCCTCCGCTACCGAAGCCACTGGCACCACAGCCAAGACATCATCCAAAATTAACGATGCAGTTTCACCCTCAACCTCAATCCACACAATACCCCTCATTATCAACAATGAACCTCATCAATCTAGCAGAACTTTTCCTGTCCATTCGCCATCAGATAATTCACACCTTCACAATTGTGTATCTGCATCTGCATCTGATATTGACCTCGCTTTGGATACAGCTCAAAAGGCCTACCCAGCATGGAGCAGATTACCGCCACCCCAAAAACGCGATATCTTTCTTCGAGCAGCCGAGATAATGCTCGAACAAAAGTCTATGCTTGAAGAAACCATGATTAAAGAAACCGGCGCGGACCCCATTTGGGCTGGTTTTAATACTCATCTTGCTCGAGAAGGTCTTCTCGACGTTGCCGGCCGTATAACTTCCATCGTGGGTAGTATCCCCATGACGTCAGAGGAAGGTCGAAGTGCACTTGTCTACAAAGAGCCTTATGGAGTTATCCTCGGCGCTGCACCATGGAATGCCCCCTATATTCTCGGTTTCCGAAGCATCACCTATGCACTCGCAGCTGGCAATTGCGCAATTCTCAAAGCACCAGAGTTTTCACCAATGTGCAGTTGGCATATCTGTGATATCTTACACAAAGCTGGGTTACCTAAAGGTGTATTAACATACATAGCAATTTCAAGTGAGGATGCTCCGGCGAGGACGGCACAAATGATTGAGAGCCCGATCATTAAGAAGATTAACTTTACGGGTAGTACCAGGGTAGGAAGGGTTTATGGAGAATTAGCGGGAAAGAATCTTAAACCTGTGGTGTTGGAGTTGGGTGGGAAAGCCAGTGTCATTGTGTGGGAAGATGCGGATTTGAAATTAGCAGCTGTGGAGTGTGCAAAGGGGGCTTTCTTACACTCGGGTCAAATCTGTATGAGTACGGAAAGAATTCTTGTCCACAAGAATGTTGCAGCAGAATTGTAAGGTTTCTTTTTCGTTTATCTCATCATTCTTGTTCTGCTTGACTAGCAAAAGACAACAAAAGCAAGAATAAAACTAACAACACATGTAGCGAAAAAGAATTAGCGGCCGCTACTGCAGAGATGTTCCCTTCACCAACAACCCTCATCACCTCTCAAGGCGTCTCCAAAAACGCATCTTTAATCTCAGATTCCCTTTCCAAAGGCGGCTCCATTCTCCACGGCACACCACCTACTGATTCCTCTCCCACCACCAAAATGTCCCCAGTAATCCTCAAATCCGTTAACTCCTCCATGGCCATTTACCGTGAAGAATCCTTCGGGCCCACCGTCTCAGTGATCGAAATCTCCACCGAAGAAGAAGCGATCCGTATCTCCAACGACACCGACTACGGGCTCGCAGCAGGTATCTATACTCGGGATTTACAGCGGGGATTGCGCATTGCGAAAGCAGTGGAAAGTGGTGCCGTGCATATCAATGGGCATAATGGGAGTGTACATGACGAGGCGGGATTGCCGCATGGAGGCATGAAGAATAGTGGATTTGGACGATTTGGATCGCTTGGCTTGGAGGAGTGGGTCAGGACGAAGACGGTGACATTTATGGATTAGGGATTGAGGATGAGAGATATGACGATGAATGTAGAATTTGAAACAAGTGAGACACGAATTTTATGTAAGCCAAAATGACTAAACTCGACTATATTAACCTCATTGATCACCGAAGAAAGTCTCTGTTTTAGTGTACTTTCTAGATTAAAATCGAATAATGTATACTTCTGAATACTATTTTTGTTTAACTTGGAATGAGATATATGCTTATTTATTATAGATAAGATAAAATTCATTCAAATAGTATTTGAATGCAAATCATTATTGCTCCTATGCTTGATAGTACAAAGCAAACAGAGCAGAGAGTAAAAAGCAAAGCTAGCCAAACAATATTCGGTAAAAAGACGGAGTCAAAGTTCTTCCAAAATCCATCGTATACAGCCCCCTACTTCACCAACAAGCAAGCATCAAAATGACAACCATCAATCCATTATTCCATCCATACCCACCCCAACATTCTCATCCAAAGCCCCTTCTCCACTAGCCCACAATCTCCCTCTCAGAAAACCCAGCTCCTTCCTCCTCTGACTCCTTCATCACCTTTTCAACTCCACCCAGTGTTGTAATTAGTATTTTCCGTATTTTGGATACGCCCCACTTCAGTGGTGCATATCGAGTTTTTGAAATATATTCCAATAATTATTATTATGTGAATATCACTAGTAATATCCCCGTATTTCAGTATATCCTCAGTATAGCTCCTTTTGTATACTACGTACTAGCGTGCGTATTATACTTCTTATATCAGCCACAGTAATACTACCGTATACTAATTACAACACTGACTCCACCTCCACCCTTCATCCCCTTTGGATCACTTGATCCAACATCTAGTAAATTATCGTACTTCAATAATCATTCTACTCTCTCATCACACATCGCCAAACCATTCATCTTCGCTCATAGAAGCTTTCATCTGAACTATACAGGGGACACTTAGCTCAAGCTTAATAACAGTAATAAGCATAATCGACATGATTGACAAGGGGGGGCAATGAGTAGAGATTCTACCTCGGCTGTTTGACGGTTGTGGGGAGGGTTAGCGCTTCTCCTAGGATATACAAATAGCATTTTTGAACCAGTGAGCCGCCTGGTTTTACTTTGATCTACTGGTACGGTGTATATAGCTTCCTAGGAGACTATTGTTATGTAGATCATCATGGAATTTCGCTTACTAGAATCCCTTGCGGTTCTATGGATATTCTCTACAGTTTAATATTTATGGATTAGTAGAGAGTATCTTGTCTGAATAGAGTTATAAGTAAGCGATATATAATATATATACTATATAGGAGTTTATATACTATTCTACTGATTGATCTATAGTATTTACTTTCTTGTAAGTTATTTAATCCGCAGTAGTTTAGATCAGATAATGATTGTTCATTCCTGTGATTTGTAATTCCTTTACTAGGGACGTATAACCAGCTCTAGTGACAATTGCGGTCTTTTACTTTACTAGTCTGGTTTGCTGACTCCGGCGACACAGGTAATGCTACTTGGGTTTTAATTTAAATGACTGAAGCGGCGGCAATAAGTGTACTTTTATGAGCGAAACTTTTCTTTCTTCCCCTATTCTTCATGGAGATGAGGTTGAGTAGTCGTTTTGATTATATTAGTATGGCTCAAGATGTTCTTGTTCCACTTCTCTTTAAATCCAAACAGCCTTTAAGCCTTTCTGCGATTTCTTGTAGAAAATGTGCGTGAGACCTGAATATTCGTTCCCTCTTCAACATCCTAACGCAAGGCATGAAAAGTACGTAGTTTCATACCTTGAAAGCTTTGCGTGAGCTAGGAGATTCACCCAAATTCACGACACCTTACCGTACAGTCCAAATGTAGAATCTTCTCTAGAGGACCTGAAGCCACGGCACGTCCTTCTGCGAGCACGGGAACTCGTTAGATAAAGCTCAAGTGAGCAGATGTCTTATCCATTGGCTACCGTATAGGCAACTTGAGCAGGCTGGGAAATAGATTACGCCGGCAGGGTCTATGTTTGGTGGTATTGAAAATGATGAGTTCCTATCATGGACACCATGTTCACCACCCCTTTTTTGAAAGCTTAGAAAGCTTAATTTAACCTGAATTTGGATCTGCATTCACAAATTATCAAGTATTCATAGCCGATGCCACGTTGTAACTTGCACGGTAGTTCCTATATTTATATGAAGCTCCGCCGCACCCTATTTGCGCCTAGTGGTTATTATTATTATTATCATTTTTTTCTATTTTTTATTATTTCTTCGTTCTACTTTCTTCTAATAATAATTAGATTTGTATTATCTGATATAATATATGGTTTATACTCAAAACTAATAATTTATACTAAATAATTGAATCTATCACATCTCAAAAAGAAGCTTTATATACGTTATATATATAGAGAGAGAGAGAGAGAGAGAGAGAGAGAGAGATTCTTTATCTTGCTTTCATTGTTTAGCATCGAGTTATATGATTTATACTATTACTAGATAGATATAGATAGAAACACAAGGAGAATTATTACTTCATAGTTATAACACTTTGCCTTAGAAGAACTGCGAGAGCATAATACAATTTATTCTTAGAATCTATAATTACAGAATAGGAGGCAAAGTGCTTATAGAGTGCTCCTATACATTAGCTATATACATATAATCGTGCATATGCGTATTCGCGTATGTGAGCGATCACATTGCGATTAAGTGCGATCCGTGATAATAGTAGCTCGGCATTCTCTAATTATTTGTAGTAGATACAGCATTATTCACCTAATTGCTTTCACTTGATTCATAAAGATAAGCTTATCAATTAAGGTTAACTAATTTAGCTCCTAGGAAATGCTGTAGCGCCAATTCATAAAGTGTTAAGTCTGTTCTTTCAGACCGGGGGTAATGATTCTAGGCTCTACTAGAGGTATTAGACAACCCAGAACTCCTGGGGAGCGTCTGAATTCAGACATTCCTCACTCCTGAAATAAAAAAGCAACCCCACATTTCATCAGTCCCATAAAGTCGAATCGTATGAAGGCTTGAGACGACACGGCCTATTTGTCATATTTTGTGCGGGTCGCGTTCGTTTCAATCAGCGGCGGCGTGGGAAAGTTCAGGTTTCAGTATATAATGTTCTTTTGAAAAATTCGTTCAAGGCTAGCAAGGATTAACAGTTTAAGCTTTTTGTGGGGTTAGAGTTGTGGAAACCCTTAGAGTCGTTTGATCTTTATTTCAACGGATCATTCATTAAATGCCTTGTATTTCTGTCGAATACTTTTATCTTGAGGTGTTTTATTTCATTCAGAGGGAAGCCAATTGGCTTTAAAATAACCTTAAAGTAATGATCCTTGCTAATAGTGAGCGAATTTTTGAAGAGAACATGGTATATACCAAGTTACTTATGTGCTAGTGAGCATACAGAAACACAATGGAGAGGGATCAGAGTAGGAGAATAAAGGCCGTCTGCTAGCTCATGCATTGTTCAAAGAAATTTGGGCTCCAACTTCACTCTACTTGCGGGATATTATCACCATATTATGGGACGTTATCACCATATTATACGAGAAGGGCAGGCAGATCTGCTTCTGAAATGACAACGTTTTTGTGTGGTACTGACTTGCCCTTGTCACGAAAGGTGATTGAGGGGTTATGTATGGTTAAATAGAGAGAATAAGACAATGACTTTTTTCCCTTCTACGAAAATTATTTAGCATCATTCTTTGCATCTTTCACATTCTTGCGATTTCAATTGTCACGAGCAATGTTGTACCGATTTTCTTTCCTGGCGCTTACCGCCCAAGTGGCTCTTGCTGCTATCAATGTCAATGTTGGCACAACTTATCAGACCATGGACGGCTTCGGATTCTCTCAAGCATTCGGTCGAGCGAATGATCTTTACAACCTTCCTTCTACCCAACGAAGCCACGCACTTGACCTTCTCTTCAGTCCGACTGCTGGGGCAGGCTTTACCATCCTTCGAAATCGCATTGGTTCCGGGGGATCAGGCGACAGTATTGAGCCAGCCAGTCCCGGCTCACCTAGTGGCACCCCCAAGTATGTTTGGGATGGCAGTGACAGCCACCAAGTATGGGTCTCCCAACAAGCAAAGTCTTATGGAGTGACAAGATTCTATGCAAACGCCTGGAGTGCACCCGGTTTTATGAAAACAAATGGCGTGGAAACCCATGGAGGTTACCTGTGTGGTATGAGCGGCGAATCCTGCTCGTCAGGAAATTGGATGCAAGCATATGCCGAGTTCTTGATTCAGTATATCAAATATTACGCTTCTGTTGGCATTGATTACAAGTATTTGGGCTTTTTAAATGAGCCTGACTACACGTGAGTACTGTATTTGCACCCTCTAGCGATTCAACACTGACAAGAACTGCTCAGCACGGCTTATTCCTCCATGTTGGCTTCGGGTACACAAGCGGCCAGCTTCATCAAAGTGCTTCATCCAGCTCTTGCTGCCGCTGGCCTAAGTGAGGTCGGTATCAACTGCTGCGATATGGTTGGGTGGGAAGACCAGGTTACTGCTACGGCGCAACTTGTTGCAGCTGGTGTCGAAGACATGATTGCGAGAATTACATCCCATGGTTATTCAAGCGACCCAACCTCGCCCATCAAGACTTCTCGCCCAACTTGGATGACGGAGAAAGAAACGACAGATGCCTGGAATGCAAACTGGTACTCGACTGGATCTAGCTCTGATGGCTACACGTGGGCAAACAATATTCATACGGCCATCGTCAACGGAAACGTCAGTGCTTATTTCTACTGGGAGGGTATCGAATCCACAACGAACAATGCTGGGCTGATCCAGATTTCTGGAACAACAGTAAATCCCTCCGCCAGACTCTGGGCATACGCACACTTTAGCCGATCGGTGCGCCCCGGTGCTGTCCGTGTTGCTACTTCTGGGGTTCCAGCTGGGATCAATACCAGCGCATTCAAGAACACCGACGGCACTGTTTCCGTGCAAATGATCAATACCAACAGTGCCTCCACTGCCGTTCAAGTAACGACCACTGGCTTCTCAGCATCGAGCGTCGTTGCGTATGTGACTTCTCAAAGCCAGAACTCTATGGCTAGTCTCAGCGCCACTGTCAGTGGTGGTGTCGTCAGTGCGACAGTCCCCGCCCACGGCATGGTCACATTCATTCTGTCTGAGAAGGGAGCGAGTGGGACTGATAAGGTCGAGGCTACCACTTTACTCAAAGTACCAACGTCAACGACCTCTCCTCTGGTTGAAAGCAAAACTGCGACGTCCGCCGAGACTACTCAATCCCACTACGGAAAGTGCGGCGGAATAGGATGGGCTGGCCCAACGATCTGTGCTGCTCCGTATAGTTGCAAGATCACGAATAACTACTACTCCCAGTGCCTGTAAAGCGTAGACTCCTAGTCGTTAGACTGAGCGAACACCAGTTAGGGGGAGAATGCTCCATATCCTGTAGATTCATCCTTTCCTTTCCCTCAACTTTTACTTTCAACCCAAAAATGTTTATACTTGGCCCTTATTTTCTATGTAATTCTAGTATCATGTTAGCGTCAATCAGATTGAATTGCACCCGAAGAACGATCGTTCGTGAAATGAATCCATAGGTACCCTTTGTCGATTCTGTGTAACAATTATCTTGAAATCACTACGATAATGATGAGAATGGCCGAAATGTGAACTATGTATAATGGATGCGGACTCTGATGTAAAAAATAAAATCCCAAGCTTGACCCAAGCACGATCTTTGCTTCTGATTTCGATGGAAAAACGCCATCTCTACCTTGAGGATGAAAGCCTCTGAAAGGTACGATTCTCCGACATGCACCTCAAGAGGCAGATTTAAACAGACATTAGTGAACAGGCTTGTATATCAGCCAATGACTTTCGTGCTGGCAAAGTAATATATCTGAGACTTTCCTTAGCATCTAGGACTGGAAGCGCAAGTAAAAGCTTGTTTTGGGGAGAGCTGTAGCGGGTCCTGTCGCTCTACTTTTGGTTGCTGCTGCCAGCATCTGTATAGTAACTAGCAGACACAAGGTTTACAGTGCTGGTGGTAGCGGTCTTGACTGGTAGTATTACAGGGTAAATAATCTTGACTATGGCGCTAGTCAGGATAAATTAGAATCAAGTAAGAAAGGATTGGGGGACCCGTCTACTAGCTATGTCATCACGCCCTGGACGAAAAAAACGGTATACTAAAAAACAGTGCTACTTTCAATTTTTGAAATCAATAATTAATATTCTTCATTAGAAATCAAGGAATGAAAGCTCATAATTTATCATATATTTCTTATTCTCATTCTTATTCTTCTTTCTCTTTCTCTTTTCTTTTTTTGTTGGAACACGTGAGTCAAACGTGACATATCAGTCTGTTACGCATTACTCTTTATAAGCACGGAGTGTATATGTAGAACGATTAAACATATATAGAATAGTAATTTCTCTTTGTATAAAGGGAATAGATAGAATTACAATACCTTTTAACCCTATATGCTTTGTGTATACACCTTACCAAGTCTGCCCGGCATTTTTATTAGAATCAATAATTTATATAAGAAATTGATTGAAGGTTTTATAACTTGATATTTAAGAGGAACTACAGACTACTCGTGCGGCCAGAAAGTATGCAACTCCAGCACTAAATATGCTATATCGGCTCAAATGGACTAATGGATTCCACTGCTTCTCTTAATCCCATTATATCAAATAGAGATTTGGAAAAATTAGTTAATTGAATGACTTGCTTATATTGAAGCTCTATTGCTTTGAATACAAATTTTAATGATTTATACCTCTTTCAAGCACTAGCAAGTTTCACCACAATAGCTTAATCCTATTGGGGCAGGAGTTTCATACTTTCTGGCCGCACGAGTACAAGATTCAACTAAAAGTGGGTTTTAAAAGACTTGCCTGGGTACTCTTTCAATCTTCGTATATCAGCTACACACAACTCCACTAAAAGGAAGCTTTTGACTACCTAGCATCATAGAACTTCGATTTAACGGTAGGCGCAGTACCGAATGAACCACTTGGCATTATGCCCGTTGACCAGGGTTTCCATCGTCCCAAGCTTACTCAGACCCACCCAATCCTTCTCAATTCAGCCGATCAGAGGCAGTGATTCAATATGCATATGGTTCCCAACATGTGCATGCTAACTGAGAAAGATGAGTTTGTTTAATAACGCTTACGTCCAAGGTGGCTGTGCCGACATCATCAGCACCACATCTCCTTCTGTACTCTCAAATAGCAAAATGAGATCTTTTCTCTGCACGTAGAACTATCTGATGTATAGAAACACTTTATACGTATGCTTCTGTATCCTAACTTGCGATTATGGCGTCAGGGCCGGAGCTGGCTTCGTTTGGCTACTATTCCCCTCCTCATTATACTATCAATCGACTTTTTCCTAACGATTTCTCTCAGTTCATCGCTGAGGCGAGTTTCTCTATCCTCGGCTCCATCCGACACTGTCACTCGTAAAGATCGTATATTCATTGCGAGCATGCATTGGAACAACGAGCTTATTCTACGCTCTCATTGGAGTGCTGCTCTATTAGATCTAGTGAGATATTATGGCGTGGACAATGTCTATATCTCCATTGTAGAAAGTGGCAGTTGGGACGACACCAAGGGTGCTCTGAAGGATTTAGATATGGAATTGGGGAAGCTGGGTGTAGATAGGAGCATTGAGTTGTTGGATATCACACACAAAGACGAAGTGGAACGAATACCAAATCCAGACGAGGAGGGGTGGATACAAACTAGCAGGACCACGAAAGAACTACGTCGAATTCCCTATCTTGCAAAATTGCGAAATAGAGTTATGGACAAGCTGAAAAGGCTTGCAGATAGAACAGATGATCAAGTAGAACGATCGTTCGACAAGATACTGTGGCTAAACGACGTCATTTTCACGGTATCTTCGCCATTTGCTTTTTCCCAACTTGTTGTACAGTTCTTTAATAAACTAATTCTCCTGACTCGGTTCACAGACGGAAGACGTAGTAACTCTGCTTGCAACAAGAGATGGCAACTACGCAGCTGCCTGTGCAATCGATTTTTCCAAACCTCCACTCTTTTATGACACTTTTGCTCTCCGCGACATCGAAGGCGAAAAAGCAATTGAACATACCTGGCCCTTTTTCCTGACTGCCGAATCGCGGAATGCGATGAAAACACACGCGCCAGTACCGGTTAAATCTTGCTGGAATGGAATAGTAGTCTTCCAAGCCGAACCGTTTTATGAGAATCCATCCTTGCGCTTTCGCGGAGTTCAGGATAGTCTTGCGCGGTATCATCTAGAAGGATCAGAATGCTGTCTTATTCACGCAGATAATAATTTGAGTTTAACGAAAGGCGTTTGGCTTAATCCAAAGGTAAGAGTTTCGTACAATGCCGAAGCTAATAGTGTTGTGAATTCAAAAAGGGGGAAGTGGCCGAGCAAAAGTGAAATTCTAGAGGGAATATGGAGTAATAGGTGGGCTCGATGGACGGGATTTCTAAAGAGGTACACCGAACGTTTTTTAGTTCAACTAAGGGTGCAACGCTGGCGCAGTGAGGCATTGGTTGTAGGACAAACAGAATTTCATGAGAAGGGAGTTTACTGCTTAGTGAATGAGATGCAGGTCCTTAAGGAAAATGGTTGGGCACACACATGATTGTTGCTATCTCGATTCGAATGTATAAATCAATGTTCCTAATTTTGAAGCAGAGAACATGAAAAACGAACAAAACATTTCGTTAGTTTCACTTCAATATTCGTTATTCAATATTTGGTGATTCAAACAGCCTATTACTCAATATCACTCCCGAAGCCTCTGTTGAAAAACTTCCATCTCGCTCTTCACTTTCTGCCACCTCTCTCTAATTTCCTTTGGTCCCGTACGATCCCATTTCTCATGCAGGCTCTTTACACCTGCCTCCCAATCCTTCAAGCTCGGCCACGTAGCACTCCACTCCCACCCCAATTCGAACCACGGCATTGGCCCCTCCCTTCTAAACGCATAATTCAACAAACTCTGCTCCATTGTATGGGGATCAAACCTCCTCCAATGTCTCATCACACTCATCAAGTATTCAAACATTTCCTTACTCGGTGCCGCAATCCAGAATCCAGCTGAGAAACTGTCGGTCGGGGGAGGTGGGTAAGGGTGGTTTCTTTCTCCGGAGAAGGCATTATCGCTGCGGGCGGCGAAGGTATAGTTGCTGGGTACTGGCATTTCGTCGGACTTTACCTCTTGGGTTCTATGTAGGAGTGAAGTCATAGGAGTCTGTATCATCACTTCGTCGAAAATCCCATCAAGTGGCTCGACAATCAACGTATCAGCGTCTATGAACAAAATCCGCTCGTACTCTACCATCTCAAATATCCGCAATTTGGTGAACTGGTCTTTCCATCGTGTTACTCCTGTCGATATCCAGAACGAAAGGGGCACATCGGGTACAACTTTCACTGTTGCACCGTCGAGTTCTAAGCGTTTGAGTTTTGGAGTGGCAACGCTTTGGGTGCAGAGGATAAGGAAGGGAATATCAGTTCTCTTTGACCGCGTTTTGGGATCGTGCAAGAGCTGATATGTCAGTGTTCTGGTGGCTTGAAAATAAAAGTCGTCTTCTGGGAGCGCGGAGGGATCTTCGCCACCAGACAGGAATGTGGCTATTGCAACTTTTGACGTGTGGCTAGTTTTTCTGAGGGGTGCGTAGTTGGGAATCTGAGTGTAGTGAGGCATAGAGAAGCTATAAAGATAGATCAAAGTAAGAACGATGAGTGAGGATATGAGGAGAAGGTGGCGTCCATGAGGACTTATCCTACGTACGGTCATGACTGCTCAGAATGTAAGGAGTTATAGCAAGTTCAAATCTAAAGCCCACTGTCACAACAATTGATCAAAAATATCGAAGGTCACAACGTTCAGCGAACAGCTGCTTCGAAACTCTACAGAACATAATATAGTAGTTTTAAGAGCTATAGGACCACTAATGAAACGAGTATAAGCTGACCGTAGATATATTTTCCAAGAAACGATCTGTTCCATGATGCTTGAAGTATTAGACATTGTACTGCCTCTTCCTATGCATAGAGCTTACAAAGTGAATGAATCTTCAACAAATTTAATAATTTTCAAGGTGTCAGAATGCGTCCAGGAAAGTACGATCATCCTAGATTAAGTTAAAGTTTAGAATCAGGAACATTAACCACGTAATACCGTTTTACGTGTTGTGAACTTGGCCTATGGAATCTTTGCTTATAAGAAGGGGGATCAGCAATGTATAGGTGACATCCTCCCTACAGAAAGGGGATATAGGATTATGAATACGAGCTCTTGATGACATTCCAATGCAGGCAATAGGACTTCAAGTTTGCTGGTCTATAGCATCTGAAAGAGTTTTGAACATTGGATTGAAAATTTGTATAAAGTCAATTTGCTATAAAAATATTGCTTATAACTAGATATTTTGCCATAATGAAGTAAAAATAACTAAGCAAAAGCATATACAACTGAAGTAATCGGCTTGACTTGCCTTTAATTGTCTTGATCAAAGCTTGAGCAGCTAGATCATTCGTATCCACAAGCCAAAGATGTCAGATTTTAGCATCAGCCTCTTCGACACCCCTGCAAGCGGATACCCGCTTTAATCTTTTGATGAAATATCTTAAAAAAGATTCGGCCTCTCGTGAATGACATACTGTACTAATCCACGCCCCCGCATTTCGAACACATTAGAAACCACTTTGCTTTGGTAATTACTATATCTTAAACTTCGATAATAACCCCGAATGACATTCCATGTTTTGGGTCCTCAAACATAATCTTGAAGTTCGGGGGTCTCAAAGACACCCTCTCATAGTCAGGCATAAGCAAGCGGAGTGGTTTAACTAGGTATTCGTCGATTGATTATAGTATTAGATTTTTTTAAATTAATGATTTCATTCCATAAAATTAATAATCGAAATGCGATCTAGTGTCTGACGTAAGCGAACACGCTATGCTCGGTTCTCATCATTCGAAATTACCTACATTCGGTAGAGTGTCTCCTAAAGATATTGATAGTAGTCATAAAGTTAATTACATGCAGATAGAAATGTTGTTACTTGGATTTGATATTCGAAAATGAACACGGATGTTTGATCAAATCTCAGGAATCCTGACAGTAACAATCTGATTGATTAATACGATCCTCGTCAAGCGAAGACGCTCCAAGTTGACATCTAAGGGGATATACACTAAGAATTGTCACGTGGCATTCTGGTGACGAATCGTCACAGAAATTTAGGAGCATGTAGGTTGTAAGGAAGCCCTCAGAAGCATCGATCTACACTACACAAAGCCTATGTCTGAGGGCACGAAGAGTCGTCTTTTGTCGACGGTTTTTTTTCATAAGTTTAAAGCCTTTGTAGCGGAGCTTCTGGGGTTAGAGCAGCACTGTTGACTCTCTGCCTACTCTGCGCGACGTGATTTGATTGCTCTAGTTCCACTATTGAGGATTCACACGAATTTCGAAAACGCCGTCCCGATGCAATACACAAAATGCATACCCTCCTTCAAGAGATAAAAACACCACACACCCCAACAATTCTCTCCCACTCTCACTTCTATGTTTGCTCACTCGCAAACTTCGCAACCATCGCCTCATAATTGTTCATTTGCGCGATTATCAGATTCTAATTAGGATGGTGAAAGCATAGCTTATTGCTATCAAACAATGGTCAATAAGACTCGGTGTCTGGAAAAGAAGGTATTTTGTTACCATCCACCGGCTAGCAAAGATCCAACATCGAAACAGGAAGGTCTCTCATCACCCATCGATATTGGCGCTAGTCTGCTTACGTTTAGGGGTATACACATACTAGTCCTCTACTCAACCTATTAACAACAACAATACAAAGTACTTCTCCAGAAGCGATTTCAAGAAACTGGTACGATGATGATGCTAATATGATTGTCAATGCATATGTGCATTCCATCCAGCCCATTCAGAACAGAGGTATTTCGCGCAGTCGATTAGTATAGGTTAGACGACAGGGGTATCTCCCAAGCAGCCATTCGGCCCATAAACCAGGGATCCAACTAGGGCTGCGGGTGCACACGAACGGCACAGCTGGCCCCGTGACTTCACGATACGAGATACGATGTAACTTCTTATCGTGTACCGTCTGCGATTGGTACAAGATAGACTAGCGAGGGGCTCGCTCATGTGATAGATGCCAAGCTTATCAGAAGCGTTATTAGAAATATAAAAGTAAAAAGAACAATTGGAGTAAGTATTAGAGATATATATAGAAAGGTTAAGAATAATATTCTAGGTTTTAATAGCTTATATTATTAAGGGGTTTCTAACTATCTATAAATTAGAACATAAGAATATAAGAATATAAGAAAAAAGAAAAAAGAAAAAGGAAAAGAGGTTTTGGTCCAATGAGATTAGAATAATAGGAATTTTATATATTATGATAAGTAGGAAGTTGATAAATGAAACAAAAAATACGATTTGCATACTATGAGACAATAAGCATAAACAAAATTGATAAAGTATAAAGAGTAAGAGATTATAAATAAATAAAAAACAGTTTGGAGTGTGTAGATAACCATCAACAGCAAATTCCCGCTCTAATAATCCGTTGAATTTGTGTAAGTATCCTCTATATATACCTTAGTCAATCTGCTTATACTCTAAATACTAGTGTCAACACTCCCAGAGAATACATTCGTAATCTATTTGCGACTCCACTATATCTTTACAATCCTGTCATGTTCACTTCGTGTGTTGTTCACCAGACGAGATACGAGAAGGACTACCACCCCAAAATTACTTGTGTGGCTTTTATACCATTGTAAAAAAGCGCGTGGTGGTAAATATAACTGGACTATATGGACATATGCGATATTATATGGTGCAATCATGCTGCTTATGCTCAAAGTTTGTGTTGTCTTATCATGGCATGAATTGCAAAATCAAGCCACTTTCTCATCGCGGATTCTTTGATCTCAATGAAACCAGAAAAGATATATTTCGCCCACGATGTAACTGAAACAGAGTCTATCGAAACACCTTTTGATATAGCCGGTGAAATAATGCTGAGGAGGGCAGATGCAATGAAGTTGCGCTTTGAAACAAAGAGGTACTGCTCCTTAGCTTCAGTTGTCCACGGAGTGCACAATTCTACTTCCAAGAAGGAATTTAACATAAGAAGATGAACAAAGTTTAATCCGTTAGATATCTATTATCAGATATATAATAAATACACTTCTTCTTCTTCCTCTTCAATCTTTCTTCAAATGGAGGCAAGCCCCCAGACTCCCAGACCTCGCTACACTCGAAAAGATAGAGAAGATTTTTATATGCTGTGTTGGAAACGGAACAAATATATGGTTATGATATTCTGTATAATAAATAACGCTCCCCAAACTGTTGGGGTCAGCGTCTCTTGTACATATACTTAAGTTGTAGAGTTGACCTTGAAGATTAGATCCAATGCAACTAATGACCAACGTTCTGCCGGGAAGCGGTGAATTAACACGTGATTAATGCCATCAGATCGATTTGTTGCATATCTGAAAAAAAGACAGTTCAGTTTACAACCATCTCCATGAATTTAGCGTAAAATTGAAAAAGTTCCATCGACTGGAAATAAGAATAATTTCTCAGTGTTATTCCCGGCGTCAATCATTTGTGAATGTTGCCTAGTAGCTAAGACCTTGGATTTCAACATTCAAAGACAGCGTCACCTTGCACGCTCTTTGAGGAATTCAATGTCATGACACCGTCTTGAAAATATTTTGTGTTCATATATTATTTCTCTACTGTAGTATCGATGACCCTTTTTCGATTGCGACCGTGTCGCGTTATTTGAGGCGCTATTCGGAGCTTTACGACAATTTAAATATACAATTGCGAGAATGGCCGCCTGGAGACCTCTCAAACTTTCTAGCTCTGCTGGCGCACAACTACCCCCCTTTCTCATCTCATCCGAATTCAACGATGATTCGTACCTAGTCCAACTGAGCGATTTAACGAATACGTGGGTCGAAAGTGTAGATCGCGATGCGATAATCGAACGAAGCAGAGAAGGGAATACCAGTATCGATCCAAGTGAGGATGAGGACCAGTTATCGATATTTCTCGAAAAGATCAGACTTGGTCTTGCAGGAGGAATTGATACTAGTCTATCTCTGCAAGTCGGGCCGGAAATTGGAGATGACCTCTCACCAAGTCTACTTCTCCATGTTACGATCCCACTACCTGGTGGATTGAAGGACTTAGAATGGCGTTACGAATTGGCCTTACAAACGCCGAAAGAAACAGTCGACAAGTTGCTTATTCCCAGTTTAATCGCGCTACAAGAAAAGAAAAAGGAAGTCGAGAAGCTAGTGGAGCTGCTTGAGGAGAAAGATGCGGTTATCCAGAAATTGGTGGATACTTTGGAAAATCAAGGGAATGACCTAGGTATAATATTCCATCAGGTTGCAGGAAGACCGGGGAAAAAAATCGACAGGAAGAAGGCTAGTGAGAAGATCCAAGGATTGAAGATTTTCGACGTAGAAGCTTGGAAGCAGAAGTCGGAATCTGATAAACCGGACGATAAGTGGGAGTTATTGCACAATGTGTTCGGTGGCAATGATATAAGTCCGAATCTCTCCAAGGCGGACAGATTCGACAAAGAGGATCGGAACTACAATTGGTGGAAAAATATGCAGGGCAAGAGGGTAGGTACATCTGGGAGCAAGCC